CTGATGATGGCCAAGCATCAATTTTAGATTTTATCCGAATTCATTCACAGCAAGTCCTGACCTTCTTAAAAAAAAAAAAGAGCAACCTAATAGCACTTTCTCGCCTGGCAAGAGGGAAGCTTCCCTGATTTACCATCAGCAGCCTCACACCAGCAAAGAAAAGATGCTCATCGCCATTAGAGTGCTACACTTCCACCAACAGATCTCCGTCACAAAGCATTTCTTTGTAGGATCTAAAGTGGGGATTTGAAAGTGTCCCACACCTATTAGGCTTATTAAGTGAAAATTCAGCCTCTTTGCATGCCAAAAGTCTGGGAGGCATCTAGGAGAATCTGAAATAACCTAATTCATAGAATTTAAAGCACAAATGCATGACCTCTCTCCCTCGCTTTTCCTCAAAGCACAATTGACTCAGTCTTATCAGCAGAGAAGACACATGACCCAAACATTCTCAAATCTTGAAAATAAGATGATAGGACCCTTTCAACCGTTAGACAACTTTTCCCTTCACAGCCAGGCAGAAAGCAGTTCTAAAGAGAATGTTGATCAGGGAGGTTTGGAAGTATCAGCATTTATGCTATACTAAAACACTCTGGAAATCCTATTATTTTCTCAGCAATAGTCTTTAAAATTGAAATAACAGTAACAATAATGTTTACCTAAAGAGCACTCATTTTGCATTTCATTTCCTCACATTCCAATATTATGTTGTGATTTTAGATAAAAAGAAGCTAAATCTTTTTTTTTTTTTATTTCTGAGAATGTATTTGTGACAGAATTCTTTCTTCCTAAACCAGGTTACATTTAAAATAACAATGAATTTGAAGATTAGAATCTAAAATGGTATCACATAAGTTGTATGCTTGTTGGAGTTCAGAGCTAAAAAAATAAAAAATAAAAACAAAAGAAATACAAAAAACACCACACTATTTTCAGCTAATTATAACAAACATTTTTAAAGCTTTAACACTAAAAACAGGGGAATGTGGGCACCCCATCATGAAGGATCATAGGTTTGTAGTCAAAGGAGTTTGGCATGAACAGTGCACATCACTTGCTATGGACACCTAAGGATAGAAAACTCCCTGGGCCTCTGTTTCTTTCTCTGCAGGATAAAAACACTAGTATGAGGCAAATTAAAAAAAAAACTATATGAGTTCTCCTAAACTCTGCCAAAAATATGCTCTCAGCAATTTGTTTCCTTTCCTTCCTCATCTCTAATATTATCTACTGTAATTTAAAAGGTATTAACATAATCATCATGAGGAGATTAAGAAAAAAACAGAAGGGTGTTAACTGTTTCAGAAATTTTAAATAAGAAAAATGGTGGCGTGGGGGTGGTGGGGGTGGGGAGGGGGGAAGAAAGAAAGAAAAAAGAAACCCAAGATTTCAGACTTCTTTGATCATTATTTTCCAAATTAAGAACCACGATGTTTGAATATAGAAAAAATAAAAAATCGTGATGTTTGAGCCAGGTAAAGGACAGGTCTGATGGAAGCAATATCGAACTTGCTTCCCTATCTATTCTGTCAAGGGGTATTTATGAGAAAAAAGTGCTAAAGGGAAATTTGTTTCCAGAAATTGACAAGTTGTTTCTCTTCATAAAAGTCACATAATAAAGCCATATAATAAAACATAAGCAATATAATAAAAATATGGAAGGAAGATGCTGAAGGGTCTAAATTAGCTTAAATGTAATTGACCATAGTCGTTTAAAAAGAGTGTCACTTTAACAGGTGCTAAAATTAGGGATGCTCACCAAATCCCCAATCTAAAGCTACTAATTTAGATTGTGTTTGATCCTCTCTCAAAATTATAATCAAGATCCAAGAGAGTAGGCCAGTAAGATACAGAGTGAGTCAGTAACATGTATTCCCCAATTTTGCAAGGATTGACCTGGGAAAGAATATGCTTCCTCGGCGTCTTCCTCCACCCTCCCCCTCCCCTGCCACCACACTTTTATTTAAATTATAATATCTAAACCTTTATTCTTTAACTTGATCCCAGTAAGGAAGAACTTCTTCTAGGGAGGGCCCTCTTTCAGATATTACTCATTTATTTATATTTTGTTGTGATACAACTTGATTATTCTACTTGCATTAAAAATGAAGATTATGAAGGTTTGGAATTAAGAGAAGGGGTTGAAAATGAGAGGTTCTGGGTAACAAAGCCAAACTTTACCTACTTAAAAAACATCATTATTTGATCTAGGATTAGACTTAATTATAATAATTTGCTCTAGCCATGTGCCTTTATCCCTCTTTTTCTAAACACTTAATTCATAATTACATTTGTCAAGTTGTTAAAGGTAATGACCCTATTTTATCATCAGGGGAAAAAAAATGAGACCAAACCAAAACAGATGTTGTATGAATTGCTAGTATTTGACCTTGTCAGAATTACTAGACACAGGATTTCTGACTTGAATAGTCTCAATAATATTGAAATAAGGTAGGGGACCATCCCATCTGTGGGCCTCTTTGCAGCCACTTCTTCCAACATATCTGACTTCACTGGTGCTCAGCTGATAAGTGGAAATCAAGCTTATCAATGAAAATGGTGGAAACGATCAGTTCAGGCATACAGCTCAGTATCCTCACTCTATAGACCTACATAAATCTGGGTGTCTCTGGTTGCTGCTCTAACCACCCAGTCATGTTCTTTTTATTTCTAAACAGACACATCTGCATATCTAGGGAGAAAATGAACTTTGGTTAACAACTTCTACATTTCAAATCAAAGTAAACACTTTTAAACTCAAGATTTAATAAAAATTCATTTTAAAAAACAGTAAAATGCATAGTACTAGACATTTAGCAAAAAAAATTACAAGCATATTAAAGTTTATGCTATACATACTAATTTCAATAACATAGAGCATTGGATTAAAAATGCAAAGTATAATGGTTGTGTATGAGGCAGGACTGAACTGAATGGGAAAGGGAAAAAAGCTTCAGTCTGTGATATTTACCCTGGGGTTTACTGTCTGGTCAGTGCCCTGCAACAGGAGGGCTGGTTTGGAACAAGACAGTTTGACCCTAAGTGTCAATCTTCCTAAGTGTCCTCGTCCTTTCTCATCTTCCCCTTCTCATTCCTGACAGTACTGGTGGCCAAACAGAGAAGAAGCAGGCATAACTTTGAATTTCTCTTAGACCATGACACCTTTAGTTTTGACTTGGAAAAACAAACATAAACTAGTTGCCCAAGGGTTTTGAGTCTTGCTACCTCCATTACACAGAAAACTCTTGATTTTTTTTTTGCCTTTCTACCTATAGCCATCCTTTTCAACCTAACACTCTTAGGAAAGTGTTCTAAGTGCTGGAAGCAGATCAACAGATATCTTCCCAAGTCCTCTAATTATGTATATGCTAGGCTGATATTTTATCCTTTTATTATTTAGTATGTGAGTTTGTTAATGATATTGTATTGGAAAGCCAAGGCTGTTTTTTTGTTTTGTTTTGTTCTTTTTTGTTTTGTTTTGGGTTATGACAGTTTTTGAGTTGACAGAAGACATCAAGAATAAAAGCAAACAAAATGAGGAAAGAGAAATCAACAGTGGAACAGTCATACACATTAAAGAACTGAGAAGACAGTTAAGAGCTGAAAGACAAGGACACAATTGTACGCATTGAAAGTTAACTTTGAGCAAACCTCCTGCAGAATTTTTACAAATTTTATAGCAAAGATTATGAATTTCTCTCTAAAAACAGTTTTTAAAAATATCTTCTTGTAAGTTCTGAAGTACGTATATAATTAACAGGTCTCTGTAGAATAGTCTCTTTGCTTCATCTACTGTACCAGCACTTCTCAGTGTTTACACACATGTACTCAGACCTCAATGAGGTTTATTAACTATTGATGGTTCCTGGCATCCTAGGGCTTCCCAGGTCACATCTCAGTGTATTCTTTACTGATCCTCTAATGAAAATCACTGACATGAATAATAAATTCAGCATCGCTTAATATACATATGTAACTTTCATAATAGTAGTAAAGACAAGCCAGTTATACTGCCACATGAAATACTGTGGCTTGAAAATGGATATGCCAGGCAAATCAGAGAGCTATCACTTATGCATGGAAAATAAAAATAAAATTAAAAATACAAAATAAAAGTTTAAACTTTCACTTATAAAACAAGAGGAAGTTATGAGGATCTGCTATGTAGCCAGGTGATTATCATTAATAATTCTCTATAATTTAAATTTGTTAAGGGGATCTTAAGCATTCTCAGCAAAAAACAAGGTAACCATGTGAGGCAATGGACTGAATTAACTTGATTGTGAAAAAATTTCACAATGTATACGTGTATCAAATCAGTGTATTGTAAACTCTCAACGTATACAATTTTATTTGTAAATTATAATTTAAAGCTGAAAATGATATTCTACAGGAAAAAAAAAAGAGAAATGCACTGGCATGGGCTCAAGTCTACTCCCAAAGTTGACACTGATAGAAAAGCAGCTATTTTTCAATAACCAAGGCCCATGCTCTAACCCCATGATCTGGGTGAGAGAGAAAGAAGCCCTTTAAAAATGACACATGAGCCCTATTTTTCAAAGGGCTAACATGTTATCTTTCGAGTTTAAATCTTCTGGAAAGCTCCTCTGTAATTTCTTACTACAACAAGATCATGACTTGTGCCACATTTTATTTCCCTTGACTTTGTACGTGCATAATAATGAAGAAGATAATCGGATAGTGACATTCAAAAAGAATCCCCCCTCCACCACTAGAGGTACGCAGGATGCAGGAAGTATTAGGAAAGACGCACAAAGATTTCACATCTACTCAGAACACAAACTTCCAACTCTTTTGAGACACTCCATTTTTTTGCCCTAATCTCTTCCCAAAGGGCACAGGCTGAGTGGAAAGATGCGGATCGGTGTGCCGGTTCACAGCTAGAATGACAGCTATGAGGAACTGGAGATGCTACAGCGCCCCAGCCTCCATTGATCCCCTTGGCAATTCTTATTTCATCCTGAGAACGTGATACTTACTCTTGGACTGCTCTGGCTATGGAAAGGGCCGTAGATCCAGTTTCATTAACGCTATCTAAGGTCACATTTGGCAGGTCATCGTCATCACTGTCACTTTTACTTTGTCTGGGAGATAGGCCTCGGGGGTCCATTTGTGCTGGGAAAAAAAGGCATATATAATGAATTAAAATTAGTGTGCAGAAGTTAACCTTGCCCTGGACCAACATCAAGCATGGAATATCTTTTCTGTGCATTATCACACAAATGGAATTTTCTAGACAATACAGGAATTAGCAAAAGCTATGTATTTCATGTACTGAGCACTCAACTGACTTTTTTCCCCTCGTTCATTTGATTTGCAAACCTACATCTGCTATCAAGAGTGTCTGTCAGTGTGCGATGACAGAAGAGAAACTATAAAATCTGCAACATTACAACTCCCGGGTGGTCAAAAGCTGATTATGTAGCTCTTGAGCTACTGTCCCAACCTCTGGTTTCTCCTCCTCCTTGAATCTGCTGCCAGACTTCTGGCCACCTCACTGCTCATTAGCACTTTTCCTGAAAGGGAGAGAGCATGAGGTACAGGAGGTATTATTTGCTTCATGCTCCTCATAGTAAGTTTAAAAGAGAACAAAGTTGGCACGGATGAAAGTTTTAGGTACTTTTCCTGTTTAGAGTGAGCCGCTGTCTCACAGTTCTTTTCTGAAGTTCGTGGAGATCTGCGTGCATAAAAATGGCAGAGGTGGGCAGCATTCGGAATATCTGTTTGTATGTGCTAGAAAGTGCTCTTCATCTCCATCCTGACTTACTTTTCAAAACAAGCATTTCCAGGTAAGATTTTCCTCTAACTATAAACTTGCCAAAGCAAGAAACTGATGTTCTGACCCTGTTGACCAGCATCATCGGATCCTTTCAATGAGAGGTTTCTGTTAAAATGTAAAGTGTTTGCTCATGTTGTTTTAAATTAGATTTCATTTCTGCTTTCTTTCTGGTAGGACAATTTTAGCAACCACTGCCTAGAATTCCCATCAGCCTTCACCTCAAGAACCAAGTAAGCACACTTTCTCAACTAAAAGTACTGCACTAGTTGATAACTGTGTTGTTAAAATATAAAACTTCAATCCACCCTGATCCAGTCCAGATTGTTCTCCTCAAAGACATCGATGTAAGACTTCCAAAAACACCACTATTGAAAAAGGAAAGCAAATGTACTTTAAATCATGGTTACAATGTTTGGGTACATGGATTTAAAATCATGGTTAGGCTGGGACAGGAGAATCGGGAGTTCAAAGCCAGCCTCAGCAATGGCCAGGTGAGATGTTAAGCAACTCAGTGAGACCCTGTCTCTAAATAAAATACAAAATAGGGCTGGGAATGTGGCTCAGAGGTCAAGTGCCCCTGAGTTCAATCCCCAGTACAAAAAAAAAAAAGTAAAATCACAGTTAGAATGACATTTGATAAAAAGGCATCTTTCTTTTTTTCTCATTTTGCTGTTACTATATATCATACATTATATAGAACCATATGGAAATGTTGATATTTCACTAATTTTTACTTATAAACAGGCAATTTCTTATGATTATACACAATATTTACATTCTGGCTAGAAAAGCTGTACCTAGTGAGTTCCCACAGATCCCTAATTAAACTTGATTGGAAAGAACTGGCTTCTGTTGAAACTAGTGTGTTTTAGTGTATATGACAAACATTCTGCCTGTATGTACATATATATATAAATCAAAATGTGTTTTGCACAGTGCAAGGGATCAACACACACTGGATGAATTAAAGAGAAAATAATCTAAACAATCTAAGGTTGTAGATTTCAACTGAAGACAAATTTGCCTCCCCCTCACCCCCCCCCCCCAAAAAAAAAAAAAAAAACCTGGCAGTATCTGGAAACATTTTGGTTTGTTGTAACTGGGGGTGGGGAAGGGGAGGATGCTAAGGGCATCTAGTGGGCAAGGGGTCAAGGATATTGCTAAATATCCTAGAATACATAAGAGCATTGGTCTCCCACGGCGAAGAATTTACTAGTATAAAATCTCAATAGTACCCAGATCTAAGAGTCTATATGTAGAAAGGTGTTACACCTTACTAAGTTCAATCACTCGTCTCCTAAATTCAGTCACTAATGAAGAAATTCAGTCAGAGGCTGGATCATACATATTTTTTGGCCTTTTTCTCAAGTAAGAATAATTCGCTGTCATGTGACTGCCCTCATAACTTCCTCAAATATAGCCTTCACTCCAACTGCCAGGAACCATGGAGGAAATCCATTGAGAGGTTTTGAATGTTTGCTTTGTAGCACTCACTATAAGGCAAAAGACTTTATTTGCCTTCTGATCCCTAGAGAAGATGCTTCAGAAGAGAGAAAAAGCAAAATGTTCTACCACCACCTGATAACATAGAGCTTAACTTCTCAGTCACTCTAATAGCACTGAAGGTACCATATCGTTAAGATTTATTCTGGCCAGAGGCAACAGAAACTGGCTCCAGCTAACTTTTATTAAAAGAATACACTATCCTGCATCACTTAACGACATGGCTAGATTCTGAGAAAGGCGAGTTCATTCTTGTACCAACATTAAAGAGTGTGCTTACAAAAACTAAGACGGCTAAGAGGCCACTAGGCAAAATAATCTGTGGGACCACCACTGTATGCATGATCTGTGATTGGCTGAAGTATCATTAAGCAAAGCATGACCATACTGGGAAGACACTGAGCAGCTCAAAATGGAAAGTAAGGATGACTATCCAGCTCAGGATTCAGGGAAGATACAAGCATTTCAGCCAAAAATTCATAGATAGTTTCTTTCTGGGCAATCCTGTTCTAGAATGATTCATTTAACAGCCGTTCCTAACTATTCAAAGCCAGCCAAGAAAATGAATACCATATTGTATGGTATTACATATGCCTGTAAATGTCAACAATGTAACATTTAAAGCTGTCCCAACATCACACACAAAGATGCCTTTGCCAAGGTATCTAATTAGCAAATAGCCAAAGGAAAAAGAATATTCTAGAAGTGTCATTTTGTTCAAAACAGCTGGAGTTCTCATACATAAGTAATACAAACCAAGGAAGATATAGGCAGTGAACCAAGAAACAATCTGGCTCTGAAAGTTCAAGTCTAACTGTATGAAACACTTCAAATAACTTGAGTGAGAGTTGTGATCATCTAAATTATGTTATGTTTATATCTTATTGAAAGTATAAAATATGTTAAACAAGATATCCTTTTTGATGTACTTTTTAGGGTATCATAATTGGGGATTTCTTTCCAATATTTTCAACAAATATTATGAAATACATCTGCTACCACCATGCTGGGAAACTGTTTTTACCCATACCTTCAGCCAAGCTGAGGAAGTAATTAGAAAGGCTTTTTAAAATCTGCATTGCTGATTAGGTCAGATGATTAGCTTATCTACATACTTCCATAATTCCACTCTATTTTTATTAAATGTGGAATAGGGATATCTACCCTAGTTCACCTCCATTAGTCTTTACACAACTGAGCCTATGTATGAAGGCCTAATTCTCTGGGGTGCTTATTTGGGGGCAATATAAAAGGTACCTGGGCAACCAGAACAACAACAAAAAATTTACTTCCCTAAGTAGAACAGGAGATGACCTATCAACATTCAGCATTTACCTTAGAGATTTTATTTCTCTTAAATGAAAAAGAGATCAGTTTTGGGAAACCCAGCCCCTGCAAGTTCAAGGTTTCTGGTACCCTGAATGAATTTCATTCCATGTGACAAAATCCCAGGAAGAAATACACAGAATCCCCACACCTGAATTTGAATATGCAACTTTCAAATACCCAGCTATGGTAGACTGTTACTATAAAGATTTATCTAACGTATCACATCTCCCTGTGTCTGGGTCCTTGCGTGGCCACTTTTTATGAGGTCTGGGCTTACTATATGACTTGATGTGGCCAATGGGACATTGGTGAATGGGACACAAGAAGAGGCTTCAAAACCACTTGCACACTGGGCTTCCCCTCTCTCTTGCTGTTTTTAGAAGCTAGTCAGCAAATGAATAGGCCTGGGCAAGCCTATAGGAGACTGCTTTGGAGGCAGAGTAGCCAATCTCAGCCAGCGGCCACAAAAGGAAGCCATGTCAGACCAGCCACGTTCCAGCTACCAGGTGACTGTAGCCATGTGAAGGGCCCCTGTGAGGTCAGCATGAAAACTGCCCAACTAAACCCACCCCACACTTTTGACACACAGAATCATGTACAAATAAGATAATTGTTATTTTAATCTACTAAGTTTTGGGGTGATTTCTTGGGTAACAGTATGAAATCACAATGTCATGTTAACTCTCCCAGGTCCTTCCGGAGATTTTCTAGTAATGATGTACACAAACTACAGCGCTAGTTACTGTCAGCCTACCCACGTTCTTCTCCTGCCAAGTGGCAATCTGCCCTTAGTGACAAAAACTTAAGTGGTACATTAATATAAGAAGGAAAAGAAAAGCTATATAGTACATTGTACATCATCTACTTTTCAATTCAGAATATTTACAATGTATCTGTAGACATTAGGGACATATCTTTGATCCATCATTATTGCCCAAGCAGGGTTCTTTGATTCCAAGGGGCCATGCACTTGGTATTACTGCTCAGGTAAACAAAGCTCTGCTGTCCCTTCTCTCAAGCTCATACTTGACAGGAAGCTCATATGGGTGGATCCTCTCAGGTCACTCAAAGTTCTATGTCATGTTTCACTCTTTTTTTGGGGGGGGGTATTGCAGATTGAACCCAGAAGTACTTAACCACTGAGCCACATCCCAACACTTTTTGTACTTTATTTAGAGACAGGGCCATACTGAGTTGCTGGGGCTGGCTTTGAACTCATGATCCTCCGGCCTCAGCCTTCTGAGCCACTGGGATTACAGGTGTGCGCTATCACCCTCAGCGGATCTGGCTCTCTTGAACACAAGACACATTTGAACTTTTTTCTTCCCCAGCTAACAGTAAACTGACCCAGACACACGGCACCCATGTCCACTGGAGACACCCATCCCACTCACCCCCACCTTGATGCTGTCAAAAGACTAAACACTTCTAATTTCTTTAGGGATAACCTACTCATTCAGCTATTCATGAGGAAAAGGAAGTTTTTCCGTAAGTCACTGTATTA